ATGACTTCACTTAATTACCTACACAACTCTTTCCTTTTTGAAAAATTGCTATCAATGATTTCATGATACACACTACACCGGTCGAGATCCGGGTGATATGTGCAGGATTTTCGGGCGTAGTCAATTTGCACCAAAATGTACCTTAAATGCATACAATATTTGAAACGTGCAGCAACATTCTTTAACTCTGATTTTAATTCGAACCAAAATAAATTCATGTAATTTGCACCATTTTAGGTAGTAAGCATTAGGAATTGTAATTTGCACCAAAATTCTAATATCTTATTCCTTTGATAGTCTTGTAACTACCAATCCACGAATTTATGATATTACAATATAATATATTGAGATATGAGAAGCTAAGGACAGGGAATATTCCATTTCGATTTTGTATGGTTATTTCACATCCCTATTTACACAGATTTATGGTAAGTAAATATTGACTTAATAGCTACTTTATAACAATATCAATAAACATTATTTACTATTTTTTTAAGCAACTTTATAAATTAAAACAAAAACATATAAAATTATAAAAATTAAAAACAATATTTTCATAAATTTGCCTTTTTTTTCCAATTGCTATAAAAACCACATGGAAATTAATTGTAAAACTAACGTATTTTTTGCTACGCACAAAATCTTAGTATTAAGTATACTTACCAAATAATAAACACAAAAGCATCGAAGTTCATTGTTTGTATACCAGTATACTCTTCAGTAATATATTCTAAACATATAGAATATAGAAAACCTGCTAATATCATGCCCATTAATGGAGGAAGGTAGACGGTTAATTTTGTCACTCTCCCGACAACCGTACTGATCACATATAATATTATGACGTAGATATAATTCATTGCGGCATTAATAATTTTATTATTACAATACTCTGTAGATTTGTTGTTTAATATCATATAATACAAATACACTAGCCACCATATGATCGATATCAATACGATTCCGGCCATTGTTTTTGCTACAGTGTTTTTAAATTTTAAGAGTTGTTTGTGACAATTTAACATAAACAAAAAACTGTTGTTCAAATATAATTCAACGGCTCGTGGATATTCATCTACATGTTCTGAATTTATCACAATATCGCATTTTATAATTTCATCTGATCGTTCTCCTATTAAATTAAATTATAAACAAAACGATTATTTAAAATATCTAATTTAGTATCAATGAACATTAATAACCTTATACCGAGGATAATATAAGTTAAGATAACTTATACCTAGTGCTCGAGATATTTTTTGCAAAGAAGCGTTCAATTAACATGTACCTAATTAATAATGTTTAAATATCCAGTTAACCATTCAATTTTGTTAATCATAATTGAAAAGTAAAGATAATTATAGATGTACTTTAAAATGTAAAAACGTGGGTAAATATGCTAGATCAATTAAATATGTGATAATTTAGGTATCTATACGTAATATAATATAATGTTACGTGATACATGTATAAAATATACATTAAAAAATTCATAAATAGACAGAGTGTTAGTTAAAATAAATTTTAATGTTGAAAAATTGTTGACCTTCCTCTTGATGATTGAAATAATTTAGAGTCGTAAATCCGAGAGGGTTTCGAGTTCAAATAGATTAACAGATAATACATAAAAATTGTTTTACCGCCCCACGGTTTTGGCGTGCTAAGTTACCTACATATATCCGCAAGATATTCTGGAGTCATTGGATGGCAGTCACAAATCAATTATATTATATCAAAGATTCTATTAAATGTATTTAACACTTCGAAATTGTGTGCACTTAGATAACAAAAAATGTATAATGTAATTATCACAGATAACAAACTGCTTACTGCCAGATCTAGTGATTATATCACAGATTTGTGAAAGAGATTGATGATGCGAGTTATGTGTTAATGTTGTTATGACGCAAACAAGTTTCTGAAAAATTCTTTTTGAAGATTTCTGGCAAGAATAAAACGCGCGAGAAATCCCAGAAAAACCCGTTAGTTTTTGATTTATAGGACGTACACTTTAGAACCGAAGAATTGTGATCTGTACATCAGAAAACTACAATGAAACCAATTTAGTTCAGCAATAATTTTGTTTTGGCTACGGCAAATGTCACAAAGGCGCNGTATATCTTTTTGGGACACCTTTATATGCAATATAGTTTTTATATTATAGAGTTTAATTCACCTTGTAATTTCAATTGTTCATGTGACGGCTTCTTCTCCATATCAACTCCTGTCTTGACAGGTATTTCCACTACGAAAAAAAATAGATTAAACAGGAAAATTACATAGGCAATTATTATCGAGTTAGGTGAGTTCACTTGTGATTTTCGGAACTAATATTCACAACCTTTTATTCACTCTTCAGATACACTTTTCGTGCTACATTGTATCGATTAATGTAACATAACAGAATTTGTTTTTATGAAAGTAATTGAATGAATCTGAATGAACCAAATAATGAACTTTTCAAGTTAGTGAAATATGTTTCATAAATAATTGTTATAAGTATATTTTACACCATTTTTCTGTTTTGCTTCCTTAGATTTAGGTTATTTCATAACATCGTTAATAAAGTATACGAATTCTGTGACAGTAGCACTTGTAGTCTTGGACTTTCCGCTGCTTGATGTATCAAGCTGTCTATGCATTCCGATAAATAAATTGTTTATCAATATTTATACACAGCACCCCCTTGTATGTTATCGAGGTCAGTACTGTATTTTTAGTTCATATTTTTAATTATTGTATGTTGACAGATCTTTTTAACACTGTGTTAGTCGTTTAATTTTAAAAATGACCGCACTTTTTTTTACATAATTTATAAAATATATACATTTCGTATTGGATAAATTAATATTGAATATACGTGGTATATATGTGGTATACGTATGGTATACCACAGAATAAATGCAATTATTTTATTAGAGCATTTTAAATTTAAATATGTTATTTTTATTTTTTAATAAATTAAGCGATCTTTATTTTGCAGTATTTATTAAATACAATCATAAAACATAACATTAAATTTAAGATGAACGGAATTTCCTAACCTTACCTACGCCTAATGTCTTTTGGGAGACACAATACTTGATATAATGAATACCTGTTAACAACGATAAACCAAACCTACTTATTGTAATAGTATACTATACGTTATTAAATAGTTCACCACTAAAAAAATACTTATTACAATAGTTAATTATTAAATACTAATAGTACTTTTTCCCAAAAGTTTTGATGAGCAGGGTTTAGTGAATCATCCTGTATATAGTAAAGTATTAGGGTATCGTATTAGATTCTGAGCGTAGTAGGGAGCTATAAGTTTCATTTTTATTTTTTTTGTAGACTGTGGACACGTTGTTTCCTAGTTTACTTAGTCCGATTTTTGTGTGTAACAACTTTTATGATAGGTCCAATAGTTGTAATTGTACTTTATATTAAGTCATTTTTGGATTTTCGACGCCATTTTTTAAATAAAACACTTAATTGGGAAAAAAAACGTAGGACAACGTACAATTTCAGGATTTCATTATTTTATTCAAATACGAACTACGTGTTCTACCAAAAAAAAAAATAGATTAAATGGAAAAATCAGAAAATATAGTTTTTGTTACATATTTGATCTACTTTCTAAAAGTATTACTCTAAAACTTTAGATCCTCTGGTAAATTATAAAGGAATTTTATTTGCTGGGTGTGTCTTGGTGTAATTCGGTTATAAATACATGTAGAGACTAAATACTCGATTGGTAATAATGTATCGTTGCAATATATTTAAATAATATGAACCTTATGTATCCCACTCTCCCAACTTCTAACTTACAACAGTGGCCAATTCCATTCCCAGTGATAGATCTATTTTTTATTTTGTTTTATTAGAACAAAAATTGTCATTCTAAAATAATTGAAAGCCGCTAATAATAATTTATTTCATAAAAGTTATATAATATATGGACGTCAATATCTTCACCCCACTCCGAGTCATAAAGTAAACCAATTTCTCTTTATAAATAATTTTATTATTACGATGTGCAAAATATTCTAACTGGGAAGAAAAGTTGTTTTATTAATTATATTATTACAATGACATTAATATAAATTGGTTATTTTAATTTATTAAATATTGCAGCAAATAAAACGGAATAGACTAAGCGTAGCGCTATGTGAAAGACATAACATTCGATATTATTAATGAACAGAGACATAATATATTTTATATTTATTTTTGTCCAATAGTGTGAGGAATATAAAGACTTTATATTTGTTTACAAATGTGTTGCCCTCGCACCAAACCCGATTGAATAAAATTAATAAATAACGACAAAATTATCAGCAATTGGATAACATAAAAGGATACTCGTGTTTGTTGCTGGGTGCCAAAAGTGCCAATATCAAAAAAAAAAAAATTAAAATAAATTTTATTTCCCAATATCTCTAGGGAAAATGCATATAAATTTTGTGAACAATAATTTTTTTAACATTGGCTCTTCTTGCTTCTATAAATTCCAAATACCGTCGTAATCATTTTTACTACCGTAGTTCATGTCACCTGGTATGCAATTGAAGTCATTTATGGCACCATCATCATCTATGTATGGTATGTCGTCCATATTTTCTAAAAAAAATGTATACATTTTCAAAATAATATTTTATTACTTAAACTATTGCTATAGTGTAAAAACAATGAAACTATGCAAGCAACATTGATGGATCCCATCTTTAACATATTATCACTTTGTGTTAAATTTTGTGTGTACTGCAGCAGTATATCTAATTATAATCAATATTTATTAATAATTTAGGGATTATTAAAATTGAGTTTGCCTTTCAAACTCCGATTCGCAGTTTTTATGAAATTCAATCGCTAATCGATACATCAAATTTAAGAGGATGGAATCGCCTAAACTTAATACTTTCGATTTATATAAGTATTATTCGACTTCTATAAATAATATTAAACCACAATATAATCACAATGTGCTATTAATAAAATGCATATGTACACGTATGCATATCACAATATTATTAAACTTGGGTGGGTAGATATATAAAGTTTAAACTCTTATTCTTAAGGAAGGGCTCTAAACGACGTTTAAGCAATTATGATGTAATGTACACACTAAAGAAAAAACCACAAGGCAATAATAAAAATGGAATGATTTCGTTACAATNAACATAATTGTTTTCGCCCATTTATTTATCCTCAATATAATATGCCCGATCCATAATGTCTTTGTTGTCGTGTATAATTGATTAGTGTCTAATTAATGTAATGCGTATAAAATATGACGAAGATTAATTCAAGTGAAAGTAGGTTTTAACTTTTAATGATTGTTATGATATAAATATTACTCATATATAAGTAATGAAAAATTATTTCAAAGTTTAAATAAATAAATGTAAACCAATAAGCACCATTTAGATTGAATTCCGGTACACATTTTATTCGACTTCTATATATAATATTAATCCACAATATAATCACAATGTATTATTATTAAAATGCATGTGTACCGACTTTCTCAGTTTTCCTACGTTTTTAAAGGTTTTCCTACGTTTCATCCCGGTTTTCTTTTTTGCTGGAAAAACTCTTGGAAAAATTGAAATATTATATTTTTAAAGTTTATCGATAGTGGAATTTCCTTTTAGAAATATTGCTATCATATAAAGTCGGAGCAAAATTGTTATTAGATAAGTTTTGCTCAGAAAAAAACAAGGCTGTAATATATGTTAAATAATACCTACTTTTCTTATATTTTTCTGTTTTTTTTTCGGTTTTTCAAATTTGATGAGAAATTCTTAAGAAAATAGAAAAATGACCTACCTCAATTACCTGTTCAAGTCGATTTCTTTTCAGAAAAAATGCAACACCCAAAAAAAACCGAGTAAACCTTGTAGTAGAACAGATGCATACAGAATAGAAAAATAAGATAAATATAAATATAGATAAAAAAAATTTCAACAAAAGTAGGCAATAAACAATAATATACGTAAAACATGATTTGGATTAACTAACTAATTAATTTGAAATTTTCATTTTTTAAATGTATTATCTATGTTAATTAACATAGGGGCTTTTTTCCAATACTGCTTTTGAATAATTCTAAAATCATTCTCTTTAGATGCCAATAACTGTATTTTTTCCCTGAGGTATTTTTTTTTGCATCATCAAGGCTTTATCTCTTCGTCAGGGTTTATTTTTTCTACTTCAAAACTTCTTTTTACTTATGCGATTTTTGATCAAAAACTTTTTTTCCCGGAGCATTATTATTCTCAATTCCCAATAATAGCTATCAAAGTGGGTAGAATTTAATTATTCAAGTATTAAGCAATCAAAACGAATGGAAATTTTGAACAGCTGATTTATTTAAAAATATAACACCATAGTTTATAGACATATCTTTTTATAACTAATAATTTATAAGCATGACTAAAGTTCAAATTTCGCCCCCCTTCCCTGGAAGATGAGCTGAATACGCTCCTGCGTACCTACTATATACAAATTACGTATAAAACTCCCAAAATTAAAAGATCAACGAATAGCTCAAAAATAGCATACAATTTTTGAAAATTTTTCTATGCCTAAAAAAGCTTTTTTTTCCAAATTGCAATTTCATAAAACCAAAAAGAACATTTTTAACTGAATTTCAACAAAAATATTAAAATTTGTATTAGAAGCCTAGAAATAGGTCAAATGTTTTGAAAATTTGACCATGCATAGAAAAGCCAAATATATGTTTTCTTTCCAAATTTCAAGTCTCTACGAATATTATTAACTGACTTACATTAAATAACATAATTAATCAAATAATAAAAGCATTATTTTCGTAAATGTCTTGTTTTGCTTATGTTTTTTTTTCCACTTTTCTCATTATTAGGAATATTTCCTGAAGAATCAAACAATGACCTTTGTAAAGTACCACCACAAGAAAATTTCCCTTCAGAAAACGGTCTACATTGTGTACATCGTAACAAGATTTCTGGTTTAATTTTTCTCCACAGTATAAAAAAAGAAAAAAAGAAATCTATGTAAAACCAATACATTCGCCGTTTCTTCGCTACACTTCGAACCTAAAATTAAACTAAATTTAACAATAAACATTTTAGAATAATTCTACATACATATTTATAATTTAGATTATGATGAATATTGTATATAGTTAGTAGTATAATATATTTTATATAATAATAAACACATATTTATCATTTTAACGTACCTCTATGTCCTCACCGACTGTAAAAGTATGTACTTGTGAGTACCTCTTGTGTACTGTTACTGTTACAAGAGACGTCCGCTAAAATGAAACGGTTCAATGCAATAATGGAGAAATAATGTGAGAATAAATAGTCCGTCGACAACGAATAGCGTCGTTAACTAAAAAACTAATTTTATAAAAACAAAAAAATAATTGAAATGTTTTTATCGGTCATAAAAACTGTATCACCCTGTCAATAGTAAATTATACCTTAATGATAGAAAATCAAGCACTCGCAGGTCATTCGTACCTACACATATATGTATGTGTATGCCTATTATTTTTATATTAACATTTGTTACGGGTGAGCCCAAAATACAGATAAAGAAGGTACATTAATTTATATTTATTTACAAAGATAAAAACAGATAGAATAAGTGTGGCAGTAGAATTTAATATTTTAATGGAAGTGTATTCGATAAGTGCATCATTCGGTGAATAGGTCGGTTTCGTCAGTAATTGGTGCGGTGGAGGAGAGGAGGGCATAGTGAGAGGCCAATGAGCGAAAATGTATAGAAGGGGTTCTAAAATTAACTCTGGAAATTAAAATAAATCAGCCACATTAATTGAGTTATTTAAGAGCTTATAGAGAAAACTAAAATAGGCAGTAAATCTGTGGGTGGCTAGATAATTAAGTTTTAAATATTGTAATACAAGATGATAATCTTGAGATGGGTGATCATTTATAAGGGAGTAGGAAACTTGATTCAAAAACTTACTCTTAACTCTTTCAAGTTGAGCTGAGCTAGTCGCTGAGTAAGGATCTTATAAGACCGACCAGAATTCGACGATGGATCTAACAAGTGAACAAAAGACTCTAATAAATACGAAAATTTAAAATTGGAAGAGGTACGTTTAATGAAGTCTAGTGTGTCAAGTCTTTGTAGTATATATTTGATAATCTTTCGGGACCTGATTTGTGGTCACCAATTTTTATCAATTTCTGTCGTTTTACTACAACTCAACCAATTAATTCCTTTTCTCACTTTCTCACAAATTTCATTTGAAATGGAAATCTAGCTTTGTAACTCCGATATGGAAATCTAAGTAACGAACTAGTCAATTTTGACTTTAATTTTGATTCTTCTTCCAATTTAAATGATTTATATTTACTTAATTGTATCTTATACCTTGTCATATAAAATTATTTTTTAGGCATTGTATTATCGCTGTACCTTACCGCTTGCGGTTATTAACAAATATTATTATTATTATTATTCTTTTTCGTGTATGTATATACACATGGATTGTCTGTAAGAAATCTGTATTATGTTTTGCTCATTAATTCTAAAATTGATGGATAAAATATTTAATATTACTATGAAAAAGCTCATTAGTTTTTTTGAAGGGAGAAGGGGTNTTTTTTGTCAAGCTTTTTAACGAGATATTCCACTTATAAGTTTAGGTTGGTAGAGTGTAGTGGTTCATTATTAACACTCTGTGTCTGGTACCGTCACACTAATACTCCACTACTGTCCTCCAATTCAAACTTAAAAGTGAAATATCTCGTCAACGGATACGGTTCGGGTATTTTTGTTTTCATTAAATTTTGTGTTCTGTTCAAACTAAAGTCCGAGTTACTTAATTGCATTTAACTTTAAATTCCAGCGATATTATGTTCCGATGTTTTATTTTTCAGTTAATGACGACGCTTCGAAGAGTATAATTATTTTTAGTACTTAATAACTATGTACCTAGATGATAGGTATCACAAAATTTAAGATAGAGGTAGAAAGTGGTAACTTTTGTAACTTACTTTTTTAATTCATAATAACTTATTCCGTCCTCCAGGTATTTGTATAGTTTTTGCGTTTTAGGGTCTTGAATCCGAGAATGGTGTCGATATTAATAAACAGTNCGAGTTACTTAATTGCATTTAACTTTAAATTCCGGCGATATTATGTTCCGATGTTTTATTTTTCAGTTAATTACGGCGCTTCGAAGAGTATAATAATTTTTAGTACTTAATAACTATGTACCTAGATGATAGGTTTTACAAAAATTAAGATAGAGGTAGAAAGTGGTAACTTTTGTAACTTACTTTTTTAATTCATAATAACTTATTCCGTCCTCCAGATTTTTGGATAGTTTTTGCGTTTTAGGGTCTTGAATCCGAGAATGGTGTCGATATTAATAAACAGTTCTGAAGTAAAATAAAGAATTATTTTATTATTATTTTTAAAACCCTAAGGAATAAAATTGTCTGATTTTACCTCCGGTGTTGGAATGCTAAAGTATATTATAGTATATACCTTGAAATATCCTCATATGATTGTGGAACAACTGGAATGTAGCAACAAAAAAATTACAATATTTTACATATTAAAACTGCTTGCACTTAGACAACGAGTATTAATATTGGAAATAAGCAAACAATTGAATTATTAAAAGAAATTTAAAAAAAAAACCTTAACATGAATGATTAACTGTTAAAAGTGAAAGCTAGACGTGCTAGTTATTGAGAAAAATTTACGAAAATGGTTTGTAGTGGCACGGTTCATATTTGTAGCATACAGGGTATTCGGCAATTTAATGGTCTTGATTGTTCCACCCAAGATGCTCAAGACATCAAAAAAAAAAAAAAAAAACAGTTATTTTTTAATTCAAGAGACCTATGTGTTGGACCCATGCAGTTCCAATGATACAAATTTGTTAAGTAATGAGGTCAAATGAGGCCGTCAAAAGCGCCAAACGGCACCAACCGTATAAACGGAATTTGTGGTGTAGTGATCTAATTTTCTCTGCAGTTTTTCCCTCTATCTTTCCTCACACAATAGTTGCCTATTCATTGTTCTTCATAATAATATGTTCGATCCATGGTTTCCTTCTTTTGGTGATTAATTAATTAGTGACCTCTTAGTTTAATGTGTAATATATGATCAAAGTTATTATAAGTATAATATTATATTATAGACACCCTACTTTTGCGGCTTACAAAAATTAGAAATTAGGTTTTAACTTATAATAATTTTTGTAATACGAATATAAAACATGTATTAAGTAAACAAATTATATTACGAAGTTTAAAGAAATAAATGTGAAATAATAAACACCGTTTAAAATAAATTCCAGTACAAATTTTATTCGACTTCAATACATAATTGTAAACCACAATATAATCAAAATAATTATCATAAAAATGCTTGTTAACACGCGCAATTAACATCACAATATTATTATAAGTTATTTAGGTTGATCCTTAGTAATTAAACATTAAACTCGTATTCTTGAGGAAGGGCTCTAAACGATGTTTAAACAATAATTACATAAATGATAAATATTGGAAAATCTAAAGAAAAAACAAAACGAAATTAATAATAATGAAATAATGATTTTGTTACAACTGCGGTGAGCCGTTTTAAGTTTTTTTTACGGTGCAAAATAATATTTTAATCCAGATAAGCGAATTTACGGTACTGTGAAATAAATAATTTTGTTATTTATTGATTTTATTATATTAAAGGAACGACAAATGAAATAATAATTGTTTGACTACAATCAAGTTCATAACGACCACAAATCGTGGCTCCACTCTTGATTATCCATTTAGAATTTTAAAATATAGTATCTATATAATATAATCATTTCTTCTACCCGTCAACATTTTTCGAATACCGGTGAATTCGCCATAGGAGTCTACTTATGCATTAATTTATCATTTTATAATTGTTTTCGGCAGACAGTGTTGTATAGAGATAGTCTTCTACAAAATGTATTTATTTATTTCGACAAAAATAAATGCTCGAATAATTAGAAATACCTGTACTATTAATAAAAGGTAATCAACTAGATGAGGATAAAACATTTACGACATTTAACATTTTAAACATTTAAATTATTTATATAACAATACATAATTAGTATATATTTAAAAAAAAAGATGATTATTCCGTTGTCTATCGAAAAACATATGGAAAACTAAGAACGGGATGTGAACATGTGGTACATACTACTTTATACATGTAGTTTTTTAACAGGATTTGTGTTTTATAAAGGTAACCTAATAATATTAACTTATGAACCGTATAACTAAACTTAGTATTTTTAAATATAAATTCCAATTTTAAAAAATTGTCACTACAGATAAATTTATTAATTGGAAGATTTCTTTATTTCATACAGTTGTTCAAATACTTCAGGGATATTAAATGTATCTGTAAAAGATAAAATATAATAATATTGTATGATAAAATACATTTCTGCGGACCGTTTTTACAACACCG